CCATGTTCCTCTTTTTGGGTCTGGCTTACCTCACTCAGGATAGTGTTTTCTATTTCCATCCATTTGCCTGCAAACTTCCAGAAGTCCTTGTTTTTTACTGCTGAGTAGTACTCTAATATGTATATATTCCATACTTTCTTCATCCATTCTTCAATTGAAGGGCATCTAGGTTGTTTCCAGGTTCTGGCTATTACAAACAATGTCCAGCCCCCTCTTCTATCCTTTTCAGCAAGGCAGGATCTCGAAATGAAATCATAGCTCCCAACTATGGTTATTTTGGTAACTAGCTTGCCTGGAGGATCCTCCATCTTGGCTGTCTGAAGTTGGAGTTATAGGCTGTACACTCACCTAGATATTTCATGGCTTACGGAGATCCAAATCTGACCCTCATGCCTAAGTTTCATAAAGATAAGAAAGAAGAAAGGAAAGATGAGAATTTGTACGATCTCAAACAGCTAGTACAGACTTTATTTAATAACAGAGGGGTGTGGTCTCTAGTTCTGACCATGCCATGATAGGTCACAGGACCCAGTCACTCAAAGACTGGAGTTCAAGAGAACATAGATGACAGGCTTTAAGCTGAGGTTTTGGTTACTAGGGATAGGGAAGGGGGAGGATGTGTTTCTTACAGCAGTCATGTGATTGCTTGGTCAGTATGATGATCCACTTGTAACTCCAGCTTCAGAAGAGAGACAGGGGACTTGCAGGGCAGGTTTGCTAAGGAGTGTAATTATATCCAGGAGCTATGATTGGCTGTGAGGTCCTGCCTTGGTGAATAAGGTGGAAGAACAACTGAGAATGAGAACATTGCCTTCCAGATGCCACATGCATGCACACATGTGAGGTTAGCTGCTTCCTTAGACAGGCTGGTTTTCAACTGCAGGGTCTTTGTACCTTCCTCCTGGGAGACATCAGATGCTTTTCTTCTGTAGGCCCTCCTGGAAAGTTGAGTTCAGCATAGGGCCTTGGCTTTTTTTCCACCTTGGGAGAGGTTTTTGGACAACAAGAACTCTACCTGCTGAGCCATCCTCTCAACCTTAACTTTAGTTTTATCTGAGAGCTGATGGAAGAAAAAAAAATCTTCCTTTTCAACCAGGTTTGATCTTGCTTACACATGTCTAGCATCAGGAGGCAGAGATGGGTGGATCTGTGTTAGTTCAAGGCCAGCCTGGTCTAGTGAGTTCCAGGACAGCCAGAGATACACAGTGAGATCAGATACACAGAGGCAGAGATCAGGCATCATGAGAACAAGGGTGGGAGTGTAAGCCAGGCCTTCCTCACCATGATCACAGGATTCTTCTCTCTCAGGACATTTACCTAAACCTTCCCTCCAAGCTCACCAACAGAGGAGACGTCTGGCAGCCGGAGGGAACGTGACCCTGCAGTGTCAGAAGCCACATAATATGACTGAGTACAAAATGTTCCTGCTCCTGAAGGAAGGAGTTTCAGCACCTGTACAGGTTCAGAGATCAGAAAGGAACAGAGCAGACTTCTCACTTCATGATGTGACCCTTGAGGACACGGGAAACTACAGTTGTGTCTACCACCAGATAGGAGCCCCTTTCTGGGCCTCACACCCCAGTGATCTCCTTGAGATCTTGGTGTTTGGTAAGTTTTAAATATTTTCTTTAAAAAATATTTTCATAGTTCCAGTAGAGATAAAGAAATTGTGAGCTGGACAGTGGTGGTACACACCTTTAATCCCAGCACTTGAGAGGCAAAGGTAGGCAGATCTCCATGAGTTACAAAAGTTAGTTCCAGGACAGGCTCCAAAGCTACAGAGAAACCCTGTCTCGAAAAACAAACAAACAAACAACAACAAAACAACAGAAAAAAGAAAGGACTGGAATTAATCAGAATTACTGTTATTGCAGAGAACCACAGTTCATGCTCACAGGATGCAGTTCACAACCACCTGTGACTCCAGCTCTCCATGGGATCTGATGCTGCCTCCTGCCCTCTGATGGCCCCGCAGTCATGCACATTCCCACATACAGACATACTGACTCACAGACACATAGACCAACACACACATATCACACACACACACGAAACTCATAAAAAGCCTGGTCATGGTAGCTCACACCTTTAATCCCAGCACTCAGGAGGCAGAAGTAAGGGGAACTCTGTGAGACCAGCCTAGTCTACAAAGTGAGTTCCAGTACAGCCAAGGCAAAACAAAGAAAGTCTGTCTTTAAAAAAATCTAATAAATAAAGTAAAACTAATAAAAATAAATATTAAATAAACAGAAAACCATAATTTAGAAATTATTTAAATTAATATTATAAATATTTATTTAATTACTTAAAATTATTTTGTGTTCATTAAGATTTGCTTTATGGCAGTTATGAGACAGACTTTTCTAGGGTAAAAGCAAAACACATGGACACATACATACATGCCCTCGTGCAGGCACACATGCACATCTAAACAGCTTAAAAACCTCACCCTAAGGGAGCCCATGACAAACCAAAAAAAAAAAAAAGTTTCAGTGAACATCCCAATTGGTGAACCGATGAGTTGTTATTGGGGTTACTGAGAGGAGCATGGGGGGGTGTCAGCTGGGATGGCGCCACAGCAGCTGCCCCCACAGAAAGCCCCCTCCAGCACTGCTGATGACTCATGAACGCTGCAGCCTGCAGCTCTGCACAGCATGCAGGCAGCTGGACAATCCCAGAAGTCTCTTCTCTCTTTGTTGGGCTGGTCAGCATCTCCTCCTCCAGCGGCAGTCCTTGACTCTTTTTACATGCTGGGAGGGGCCTTTGAGAATCTTCCCTCTCTCACCAGCATTCTCCCTCCCTCCTGAGGGAGTGCTCTGTTTAGGGTGCCACTGCCTTACAATGGCTCAAATGTGCTCTATTTTGGCAAAAAGTTGTTGTGAAGAATGTGTATTTCAGTGCTGTTGGATAGAGTATCACTTAAATGTCTGCTAGGCCCATTTATTTGTGGTGCAGTTCAACTCTGTGTTTTTCATTTGATATTTTTCTGGATCGTGTATCTATTTGAACCAGTGGCATATTGAAGTCACCATTATTCTTGTATCTGGTTCTGTCTGTCTCTTTATGTCTACTCGTATTAGTTTTATGAAAATGGGAACATCAGCATTCAATATATACAACTTCTGTCTATTTCCCTCCCTTCCCCCTCTCACCACCCACCATCCTGGGGGAGTCTAGCACATTGCTTTGAGGCAGGACCAAGGCCCTCCCCACTATGTCTAGGCTGAGCAAAGTATCCCTCCAGAGAGAATGGGTTCTAAAAAGCCAGAACAAGCAGTAAAGATAAATCCTTCTACCAGGCATTCTTAAGGTTTTCTGTTGTTTTTGAGGTAGTATTTTATTATACAGTTTAGGCTTTGTTCTATGTAATTTAGGCTGGCCTTGAACTCACAGGTTTCCTCTTCTGCCTCCTGGGTGCTGAAATTAAAGAAATGAGTTACTATGTCCAACTCAATTATTAAATTTTTTTCATTTGTTTATTTATTGTGTGCATATGTGCAATATGTTCATGAACGTGTACATGCCACAGAATGCAAGGATAACTTGAGAGATTCCGTTGTCTTCTTCTGCTGAGTGAGATTCACATTGACTTCAGGTATTCAGGTTTGGTGGCAAGTGCCTTTACCTGCTAACACATCTCACTGCCTTAATCTTTATATTTTTTTCATGGATTTTCCCCTTTATTAATACACGCTTATCTTTGTATCCCATAATTAATTTCTGAGACAACTTTTCACTATGTAGATCTGCTTTACCTGGAACTCACTATATAGTCCAGGTTGGCCACGAACTCACAAAAGTGGGCCTGCCTCTGCCTCCTGAGTGCTAGAATTAAAGGTTTGAACTACATCCTATGGATGACTTACCTTGTTTGACCATTTGTCTGTGTGTGTGTGTGTGTGTGTGTGTGTGTGTGTGTGTGTGTGTGTGCACTTGAGTGCAGCTCCTGCAGAGTCCAGAAGAGGGCATGGGAACTCCTGGATCTGCAATTACAGGCTGTTGGGAACCTCACTTTGTGAGTGCTGGGAACTGGTCCTCTGTAAGAGCACTGCCTGCTCTCAAATGCTAAGTCTCACTCCAGCACCTAGGGCAATTCTGAGATAGATTTCCTTATTCCTGTAATTCTGTTAGTTTTTTTTTCCTAGTTGACATGAATCAAGTCTTTTTTTTTTTTTTCTCCAGTATTCATGTCAGGGACTTGCAGCTTAATCCTTTCCTAGTTACTGATTGTAATTTCTACATAGTAATCTTGGTTAGAAGCTACTCACTTTCATAGATTAAAATACACCATTGCCTGCTTTGATGGTTTTTAGGACTGCTGAGAAGTGTGGTATTAATTTTTGTGAGTTCAGAATTTTAGTTACCTCTTACGCCTTTTAATATTATTTCTTTCCTCTGCCATATTTGCATTGTAATTATAATTTGCAATGAAGAGATTTTTTTTCTGGTATGTCTAGCCATAACCTGGTGTTTCGATATCTGTTTCCTTTCCTAGAATTTAAAAATATTTTACTGCCAGGCGGTGGTGGCGCAAGCCTTTAATCCCAGAACTTGGGAGGCAGAGGCAGGCGGATCTCTGTGAGTTCGAGACCAGCCTGGTCTACAAGAGCTAGTTCCAGGACAGGCTCCAAAACCACAGAGAAACCCTGTCTCGAAAAAAACCAAAAAAAAAAAATTTTACTGCTACTCCAGTGAATAGGTTTCTATGCCTTTTCTTTGTATCAAAGCACTTTCTCCTGTGCCTCAGATCCTGATCTGTCTGCTGATCTCAGTTGTGTGTGTGTGTGTGTGTGTGTGTGTGTGTGTGTGTGTGTGTGTGAGAGAGAGAGAGACTGTCATTCACACCATTTCTCCTGAGGCTCTGCTCCTCACCACAGGATGAGAGGTAAGTAGAGCCTGTCACCAAGGGAATTTAGGTAGGGACGAAAGGGGAATCATAGGGGCTGGTGAAATAGCTCAGTTGGTAGAAGCTTCAGCTCTCATGTCTGCCAACCCAAGTTTGATCCCAGAGACACAGATGGTGGAAGGAGAGACATCAGCAAATTGTCCTTGGCCTTCACACTCATGTCCTGGCATGTGCCCCGTCCAATAAGTAAATAAAAATATAATTTAAAAGAACTTCACCTCCAGAGCAGTTAAGGAGGACATGAGGTAACGAGGACAAACTTGAATACCTCAGATCTGTAGGAGTGAGAAAAAAAATCTTATCTTCAACACCGGTCACATACAGGAATGTCCCCATCAACAGAAAGTCAACGGAGGGAAAGGGCTTATGGAGCCCTACTCTTTATGAGTAAACTATCGGCTATGGGTAGACTCTGGGAGAAAGGAACCACTGTCTTTAATTTTGTACCCTCTGCTGAGCCCACTGGGCTCCAACAGGTATCTTCAAACTAATGATCACACAAATGGCACCGGTTAGGCTGAGGGGGTCCCCAGACAAAATGAATAGAAATAAATTACAGACGAATTCATGGGGATGAAGAAGGTGTTAAGGAGGTGGGGTGAAAATGGCCAGTATGCACTGTGCACATTTGTGAAATTATCTACAAACAAATTTAATTACTGAAAATGTGTCTGACAGGGTGAGGATAGACTGTGGGAAAAGTTTCAGCATCATGTGGACCCTTGCAGGACAGGAAGAATGGACGGAGGACCCTGGACTTGACTCTTCCCCTTGGATCTTGTTTCTCTTACAGGATACCTGCCTAAGCCTTCCCTCCGTGTTCAGCACTTAAGTCAAGTTACCACAGGAGAGAAGGTGAATCTACAGTGTCAGAAGCCACACAGTTTCACACAGTATAAAATGTTCGCTCTGCTAAAGGAGGGAACTTCATCCCCCATACAGCTTCTGAATTCAGAAAATGACACAGTGGAATTCACCCTTGAGGATGTGACAGTCCACGATGCAGGAAGGTACAGTTGTGTGTACCTGCAGGCAGAAGCCCCTTTCAGGGCCTCACATCCAAGTGATCATCTTAATATCTCAGTGGCAAGTAAGGATTTTATGATAGTTTTTCTCCTATTAAGACATAGCTTACTCCATAATTTTGTTGCTTTGTCACTTGGACTCTTTCTTCTCTCTTTTAAAACAGACCTATTTTGTTTTTGAAAATTGTGTGTGTGTGTGTGTGTGTGTGTGTGTGTGCAGCGTATACACACATAAGTGCTGTGCACACAGAGGTCGGAAGGGGGCATTGTTCCCCCTGGAGCTGTGGTTACAGGTGATTGTTAGTTGTCTGATGTGGATGCTGGGAACTGAAATCAGTTACTTGCCAATGCCTATGTATTTAAATATCTTCCTCTAATAATTTCAGTTTCAGTTCTTTGATCAAATCAAAGACAGCAAAATCTTTGATTCTCTTGAAGTTGATTTTGTGTGGTGTGAGACAGAGGGATCTAGTTTCATTCTGTGGGTGGGAGTCCTAGTTTCCCGGCACTTGGTGAGAAGACCAACTTCTCTTCCATGTGAACTTTTGGCATCTTTGTCAAAAAAAGTGTCTACAGCCATGTGAGTTTCCCTTTGAGCTGTATACAGTGTTCCACTGATTTACATGTCTGTTTGGTGTTGTTACCATACTACAATAGCCCTTCTTGAGAGCAGCTGACAATCACGGTGTTGCTGGGGCTCAAATGCCAGGTGAAACTCTGCTATACTCTAATCCCATGTGGCATTTTGTGGTCTGAGGAGAGAAGCTGTTCTTCCCTGGACTTCTGGGTTCTGTGTTCTCCTTTCGTCTTTGTTTTGCTTATAAATCTAAGCATTAAAGTATCAAAGGGAAAGGGGGAAAAAGAAGCAGTTGAAAGTTAAAAATGTGATAAAGAAGCCTGGTGCTGGTGGCACATGCTTTTTTTAAACCTTTTTTTTTTTAAATCTCATTTTATATACCAATCTAGTTCCCTTTCCGTCCTGTCCTCCCACTTCCCCACCTCTTCCCATCACCCCTCCATCCTCTTGTCAGAGAGGGTGAGGCCTCCCTTGGGGAGTCAACAAAGTCTGTCATATCATTTGAGGGAGGCCCAAGCCCCTCCCTCTGTATCAAGGCTGAGCAAGGTATCCTCCATAGGAAATGGGTTCCAAAGAGCCAGTTCATGGTCTAGGGATAAATACTGTTTTCACTGCTAGTGGCCCTACAAACAGCCCAAACCACACAACTGTCACCCTCATTCAGAGGGCTTAGTTTGGTCTTATGCTGGTTCCCCAGCTGTCAGTCCAGGGTCAGTGAGCTCTTACTATTTTGAGTCAGCTGTTTACATGGCTATCCCCATCATGGTCTTGGCTTCTAGTGTTACATTCAGGAAGTGGTTTCCTGTGCCAATGCGTTCAAGGCTACTTGCTACTTTCTCTTCTCTTCTAAGAGGTTCATTATGGTTGGATTTATGTTGAGGTCTTTGATCCATTTGGACTTGAATTTCATGCATGGTGATAGATATGGATCTATTTTCATTTTCTACATGTTGATATCTAGTTATGCCAATACCATTTGTGGAAGATGCTTTCTTTTTTCATTGTATAATTTTAACTTCTTTGTCAAAAATCAGGTGTTCATGGGTGTGCAGATTAATATCAGGGTCTTTGATTAGATTTCATTGGTCCACCTGCCTTTTTCTGTGCCAATACCAGGGTGTTTTTGTTACTATTGCTCTATAGTAGAGCTTGAAGTCAGGGATGGTGATGCTTCCAGAAGTTCCTTTCTAGGATAGGACTATTTTGGCTATCCTGGGTTTTTGTTTGTTTGTTTTTCCATATGAAATTGAGTATTGTTCTTTCAAGGTCTGTGAAGAACTGTGCTGGGATTTTGATGGGGATTGCGTTGAATCTATAGATTGCTTTTGGTAAGATTGCCATTTTTACTTTGTTGATCCTACCTATCCAAGAGCATGAGAGATCTTTATGTTTTCTAATATCTTCTTCAATTTCTTCAAAAACTTAAAGTTCTTGTCATACAGGTCTTTCACTTATTTGGTTAGAGTTCCCACAAGGTAATTTATGTTGTTTGAGACTGTTGTGAAGGAAGATATATCTCTGATTTCTTTCTCAGCCCATTTATCATCTGTATATAGGAGGGATACGGATTTTTTTTTTAAAGTTTATCTTGTATCCTGCCACATCCCTGAAGGTTTTTATTGGTGTTCCCTGGTAGAATTTTGGGAGTCACTTATGTAAATTATCTCATTAGCAAATAGTGAATCTTTGACTTTTTCCTTTCCTATTTGTATCCCTTCGATTTCCTTTTGTTGTCTTACTGCTCTATCTAGAACTTCAAGTACTTTATTGAATAGATGTAGAGAGAGTGGACAGCCTTATCATATATATATATATGTATATATATATATGTATGTTTATCTTGTCGTGATTTAATTTTGATGTGTGGTACCGGTCCAGAAAATTGTCCATTTCCTTTAAATTTTCCAATTTTGTGGAGTACAGGTTTTTGAAGTATGACCTGATGATTCTCTGGATTTCTTCAGTGTCTGTTTTTATGTCCCCCTTTCATTCTGATTTTGTTAATTTGAATATTCTCTCTGCCTTTGGTTTAGTTTGGATAAGGGTTTGTCAATCTTTTTGATTTTCTTAAAGAGCCAACTTTTTTCTCATGAATTCTTTGTATTGTTTTCTTTGTTTCCACTTTATTGATTTCAGCCCTCAATTTGATTATTTCCTGGTGTCTACTCCTCCTGGGTGAGTTTGCTTCATTTTGTTCTAGAGCTTTCAGGTGCGCTGTTAAGTCACTAGGGTGAGATTACTCCGTGTATTTTATGTAAGCACTTAGTGTATGAACTTTCCTGTTAGCACTGCTTTCAGTGTGTCCCATAAGTTCAGGTATGTTATGTATACATTTTTATTGAATTCTAGGAAGTGTTTCAAGTCCTTATTTCTTACTTCATCTTGATGGATTTTTACAGTGATAAATATGAAATGTCCTTCTTCATCTCTTAATTAATTTTATGTTGATGTCTATTTTGTTAGCTATTGGGATAGCTATCCCAGCTTGTTTCTTAGGTCCCATTTGATTAGAAAATCTTTTCCCAACCCTTTACTCTGAGGCAATATCTGTCTTTGAAGTTGAGGTGTGTTTCCCATATGCAGCAGAAGTATGGATCCTGTTTCCATATCCATTCTATTACCCTGTGTCTTTTTATAGGTGAATTGAGACTGTTGATATTGAGATATTAATGACCAGTTGTTGTTAGTACCTATTATTTTTGGTTTTGGTAGTGGTGGTGGTAGTGTATATATGTTTCCCTTCTGATTTGCTGATGTGGGATTAACTATTGCCTGTGTTTTTGTGGGTGTAGCTAGTTTCCTTGAGTTGGAGTTTTTCTTCTAGTACTTTCTGGAGGGCTGGATTTGTGGATAGGTATTGTTTAAATCTGGTTTTGTTATGGAATATCTTGTTTTCTCTGCCTATGGTTATTGAAAGCTTTGCTGGATATTGTAATCTGGGCTGGAATCCATGGTCTCTTAATGTCTGAAGATCATCTATCCAGGACTTTCTAGTTTTCAGAGTTTCCATTGAGAAGTCAGGTGTAATTCTGATAAGTCCACCTTTATATATATTATTTGGCCTTTTCCCTTCTTTCTTTATTTTGTATGTTTAGTGTTTTGATTATTATGTGGCAAGGGGACATTTTTGGCACAGTCTTTTTAGTGTTCTATAAGCTTCTTGTAGTTTCTTAGGCATGTCCTTCTTTAATTTGGGAAAGTTTTCTTCTGTGATTTTGTTGAATATATGTTCTATGACTTTAAACTGGACTTCTTCTCCTTCTTCTATCCATATATTATTTAAATCACTGCTTGACCCATTATCTCTAGCTTCTTATTGGCTAACTCTTACATCTTAACCCATCTCCGTTAATCTGTGTATCGCCATGTGGCTGTAGCTTACTGGCTAAAGTTCTGCCATCTGTCTCCAGCGGGGCTACATGGCTTCTTCTTGACTCTGCCTTCTTTCTCCCAGCATTCAATTTAGTTTTTCCCACCTACCTAAGTTCTGCCCTCTCAACAGTTCTTTATTCATCAGTGGTATTCACAACACACAGAGGGGAATCCCACATCATGTTTGGTCTTTTCATGGTGTCCCAGATTTTTCTGGATATTTTGTGTTAAGAGTTGGTTGGATTTAAAATTTTCTTTGTATGTTGAATCTATTTCCTCTATTGTATATTTGACATCTGTGATTCTCTTTTTCATCTCTTGTATCCTGTTGGTTATGCTTGCATCTGTAGTTCCTAATCATTTACTCAGATTTTCCACGTACAGAATTCCCTCAGTTTGTATTTTCTTTATTGCCTCTATTTCAGACTTCAAGTCTAGAACCATTTCCTTCACCTGTTTAATTGTTTTTTTTTTTCTTGGCTTTCTTTGCTTTCTTTAAGGGACTTGTTGATTTCTTCCAATTTTTTGTTTGATTTTTTTCTCCATTTCTTTAAGAGAATTTTTCATTTCCTCTTTAAAGGCCTCTATCATCTTCATAAAGTTTTTTTT